TTAATTTTATTTCTTGCCTGGGACTTCTTTCATTTCTTATGGGATCAAGGGCGATCTGTTACTCAATAATGCCATTTTTTTCATGCTACACTATACCTGCATGGTTTTTTTATTCAAAGAGGATGGCTTTGTAATGTTTCTGATTAAGCAAAAAGTCGTCTTGCACTGAACGGGAGGACCAACCAAAAAACATCAGGTGTGTTCAATCTGTAAATAGCAGATGAGTAGTAGTTGGGCTCAGTAGAGTAACTGAACCTCAGATGAGTAATTTGAATTTAACAAATTACAACAAATATAAAATCAAACTTGATTTAGTGTTGTGTTTCACTGAAATATATTTTACGCTTTTCGGGAATTAAATTTTCTGCTCATGAAAGAAACAGTGGGAGTTTATCAATTGCTGCTCTTGAGCTCATTCTTTCAGAACTTGGATATTTACTAGCAACTAAACATACAAAGTTACCAAAGATTGCAGATCACTAAACCAATTACATCTATTATTGAATCTTTTACTGGCATTGAAAAACAAATCAGGAACTTGATTGCACATCTGTTCACACACACGCATATAAGTTCACACAAACATTTTACTTGTAACTTACATATCAACTAAATCAACTTTCTTCTTTCAGAAAGTAGACATTTGTCACATATTGCATACTGTTTCATTGTACAGTGCATAAAATGTACACAAATCCTCCAAAGAAAACTATTTTCAGAAATCTTCTGGCAATTAAATGTCATAGTGTATGCTGCAGTTTATGAAGGATCACTAGAAATAAACATGGTGCAATCAGACTTTCTGTATGTGTTCAGATGAAGCAAATTCAGAGATGTGTCTCCACAAAAAAACCATAACATCCATTCTTTTAAAATGGTGTTCAAAGAAAATATGCTTTTCTTTTTCCAAAGTGCTACAATTTTTCATTTTGTTTTTACCTCACAAATAAGCATGCCAACAAAAGCAGTGGTGCTCTCTCCCTTGAGCGACGGAAAGAGTTAGTTGAAGGCAGGCAGTATAGGGGCCGTCTCCACATAGCCATTTGGGGCGAGCTGCATTCCCTCTTGAGTGGGAGAAGCAGGGATAGTGTTTGCTAATTTCCCGGGTTGCCATTGAAGACAGGGGTTTTCCACTGTGTCTGTTCTTTCGCGACCTTCAACAGAGATATGGGTTTCTGTAGCCCTTTGCAGCAGAAGCACATTTCCATTTGCAACTCCAATCACCTTGGTGTACTCTTGCCCTGTGAATTGTGGTGGTAAGACCTCATGTCCTTCCTTGGATTTTGGCTTCAAAATCAGGATGTTCTCCTGGTTCACTTTCTGAACCTCAACATATTCTACCATTTTGGACAGTGGGAAGGAAGGAGCTTCAGTCATTTGGCTCCCAGTGACCTTCATATTGAATTCACTGTAGTCCTGTAGGTTTCCGTAGCCTGTAGAGGTTTTGCTCAGGCGGATTTCAGTGTTGTTCTCCAGCTGGTCATCTTGGCTTATCATAGAGTGGAGATTGCTGGTAGTGTATCCTGGCCTCTGGATTTCAGGGAGAATATGGTGGGATGGTTTTTCATGGTCATGAAATGAAAAGGCTGCTGGCCAAGTCTTGGTCTTCCCATTAGTGGTTTCAGTGTTGCCCAGGTTCCCGCCTGGGCTCCCGTTCCAAGTCAAGCTGCCACTTCTCTCTTTTGTGACTATGCCATGGCTGCCTTCTTGTTCAAAACTCCTGACTACCTGGCCTGTTACCTTGAACTCAGGGCACTTTTCCAAGAGAAGAGTATGACTGTCACAGCTCCCCCGGCCCGAATCGTTATCTGATGTACTCTTGGCTGGATTCATTTTACCCTCCTGATGATCTTTCCCGTTCATCACCAGCTCCCTCTTGTCACTGTCGTCCACCTCCAAAAATTCCACAAGCAAATCCTCACAGTCATTGGTGGGAGGGAAACCCTGGCTGACCAAAGCACTGAGCATCTCTTCTGATTTCCCACTCTAAATACAACACGGCAAAAAAACAAAGGATGAAATCATGTTGTGAATGTATCTAATGTGGAGCTCTACAGAGCATTAGTGGCAAAGAAAAATATTATATCACATCACTGTCTCAGCAACTACACTAAATGTCAAAACAACGGGCTATTAAATTCCTGGTTGCCGGATACTGAACTGTTTCTTTTGTCATTGGGTTCATCTTCCCAGCTGGTATTGAGGTCTTGGTTATGTTTGTTTGTATGAAATTTTAGCACATGTAAGTAATATTTCATATTTTCTACTGTTCGGTTTTGAGCAGTTCCAGTTCAGAAATAGCAACATAAGTTAAGGAAGACTATTAAAACATGTGCCCCGTTTTTTAGTAGGCAAATTTTATCCCTGAACTAAACTAATCATATTGAATTTACTTTGCTTCTATTTATATTGAAGGGAGAGTAACGCTGATCTTTCAGAATTTGTACAAACGTTCTGCAAAACAATGATTTGCAAAAACAATTTGGCATATTAGACAAGCCTCCTGTTTTTCCAAGCATTATTCTATTGATAATAAAGTGCCTTATTTCTTCACTTATTTTATGTAATGGAATAATTCAATCCCCAGCAATGTCAGAAACATACCTTAAGCAACTGTGTATCAAATCCTTTAATCTTTGGTCCAGGGACTGGTGGCAACAGGTAGCGTTTCACACTAAAATAAAAACAAAGGATGTTGCTGCAGCTTCCCACTTCTATATCTGTATTCATCTCCTCTAAGAAAATACTATTACAATTTCTTATATTAATTTCAAACATCACTTAAATGCAATGACGAAGACAATGAAAGGCATCTGGAGGATCAAATGATAATCAAACGATAAACATTAAACACATCAATTCATTGTAGATTTGCTGACCTTTTGAAATAATGGAAGCATCCACAATTTCTAGATTTTTATTTAAAGAACTCATTCATGGTTTCTATTTTACGTTTTTTAATTTCTAAAATGACTCCAATTGCAGATTTTCAGATCTGTTTCAGCAAGTGCTTCACCACCAAATACCACATCTTGCTTCTACTCTCTGACATTAAGATGGACAGTTAGTGGGAAATGAAACAAGACCAAGGATCTCAGGGCCTGCAGTTCAAGGATCAAGGTGCAAGGTGCATCTGGATTGGTCTTCATATTTGTAAATTATTTAATTTTGTGCATCAGAATGCTATGAAGTGAATGTGAAAGTGGTACTGTATATATTATTCAACAAGAAAACAGAGGAATCAGCAAATGATCTATTTTGGAGTGGGTGTTCCCCTCAAGACATACTTTAACAATTTATAAGGAAACAACCCTTTGACCTTAATATTTTTCATACCTGTTCCGCTTAATAGTTATTGTCCATATTACTATTAGAAAAACAAATGCCGACAGGATTGATGTCAGTATCCACATGGATCTGTCTCTTCGAATGTCTGCAAACAAAAACATTTAGAATGAATTATGAAAATGGAATATTACTATTACTACAAACATAGAACAAATCATGGAAAAATATTATATTTTTTTCTCCTAGCTATTTTGCTTTTAGCAATTCAGATTTTTCTCTTCCCCTTACTTGTCTGCAACAGAAATCCTAGTCAGTGGCAGATAAGTCAAGCACAGTATATTCTAAACACAGATATATTGCAAATATATTGCAAATTAATCAAGTCACATACAATATTTTTGCGGAAAAGCTGTGCATTAGACAACTGAATCTGCTTCACTTTTATATAAAGATATCCCTCACCAAATGAAAATGCATCAAAAAAATAACCCATGAAAAAAATTAAGATTTATTAATGAAATGGAGATTGCAGGTCTGTGTTGCACCACAGTGATTCAGTTTTTAAGTATACTTCTTACTAACTTGCATATCATAATGAAATGAGCATCCCATGGTATTAGTTAGAAGCACTAACAAAGGCAGTTACTGGAATGAGTAAGCTATATAAATCTTAACAGCCAGGATATTACATTAAAAAATTCCAAATAAAAAAATGATTATAGTATTAATACAATTTTATAATGAGTGACATAAGGTAATTAATTGATAAGGTGAAAAAAAGATTAAGCTGCAAGGTACTGTAAGTTATACTGAGTCTAAATAAATTGGTTTTGGACTCACAGTCAGGGATTTCAACGTAGGCAGTGGAACTCCATTCACTCCAGTATCCATGATCTGGTCTACATCGAACTTGTACCATGTACTTCTCCCATGGGTGCAGACTGAAAATATTGTACTGTTTCTGCTGACCAGCGAAGTGTTCCTGCCAGAAGAGAAAAAGAAAGGTAATTAAGTAAGGTCAGAAGTGTTAAAAAGTTCAGCATTTCTCCACCTCACCATTTATTTTCTATTAATATTTTATTATTTGCAAGCTATTAATCTAGCTTGAATCCTTTGTATTAAAAGGAAGGATATCTAACCAAAGAATCCAAAGAAATGCAAAGATGTTTCTGAAGTAATTTTAATGTTGTTTTACATAACATATTGGGCCACAAATGACATCATCTTGTACACAAATAGGTTAGTGTTGTCTAGGCTGCTAATGGTTCAGTGATCCAGTGAAGACTGTTCTTGCAGGCATTTAAGATCTTGTGAACTATAAACTGCAAATAAACTGCTTAAAGCTTAGTGCCCGCAGAATGTTTTCATTCAAATGTGTCCTTTATTTTCTTTAATAAAACATACACCTGAACCAGATAAACCGTTGGTTTGTGTTAGTGGGATTGTGACTTGAAAGACAGACACAGTAACTTTAAGTAATGTTAAGAGCAGTATCTTAAAATTAAAAGAAAATGCCTAGCATTACCATATATCTAGTTGTTATACTGGTTTATGGCAGATGTAGTGAAGATGGAGATTTCGTAATGACTTTTGTTTCTTTTAGCAATCATTTTCAATTTTATGTCACATAAGAACTCTCCAGGAGAAAATAAGACAAAGCAGTTGTGTATGTATAGTTGTGTATCCTTTATTTATTTTTTTTGTCATTAAAAATATTTTTGCTACTTTTAAATTTAGCCTTTCCAGAGAAATACTGTCAGGAGTCTAACAGGAGTTATACTATTTTGCTCTTTTCTATTATTATATTATATTATAATATAATATATAATTATAATATTCTATATATTATAATTATATTATAAAAAATACACGTATGTTGCTTTAAAATCACTTTATAAGGAAGGTTTACTTTTATACAGATGTAGTATTGCACAAGGAATAATGGGATTAAATACTCCAAATTATTTTATTGCTAATAAATAAAATTAAGACTTTATATGAGGAGGCACTCGCTGACAGTCCAGAAATACATTACTTAAAAATGCTTATAATATCTCATATTTGTATTTCTTTTGTATCTGTAATTTGTATAGATAGAAACTGTTATTAGGGCTGCACTGAATGAGAGGTTACTTTTTCATGAAACATTAATTTAATGGTGGTAATTCCCATAGGCACTAATGTTCAGTGAGTTCAAATCCTCTGACCCACAATAAAGACAATCCATCCATTTTGTATCTGCTTTATCCAATAACACAGGGTTGCAGATAAAGCAGAATCCCAGAAGCCAATTAACCTAACTCTATGTCTCTGGACTGCAGGCAGAAGTAAGAGCAGGGTTAACACTTTGAGAACTTATAAACCACAACCAGACAGCATGCCAGGTCTGAAATTAAACCCAGCAAAAATAATAAAAATTACAACAAAACCATTGAAGATTCATAAGATGAATGTCTGTCACAAAACAACTCAGGCTGACCAGAAGCAAGCATCCACACTGCCAGATTAGACGCAGGTGTGACAAAAAAGCAAGCCTTAATATGGTGCAAGCCACATGAGCTCAAGTCCCAGCGTAAAAATAAATCTGTAACTCAACAAACTATAATGAAAGAACCTTTGGTATGCAAAATCCTAAAATATTATCTTCAGCCAGTGAAAGAAATAATATAATGAAAACCCTATTATTTCTTTCAGCTTTATACTTCAAGAAAGTTACATGTCAATTTAACTTCTTTTCCCCTTCCATTTCAAATTTTAATTTGTAATTTCTATTCCAATTAAAACGTATTGATACAAACACCAAATGAAAAAGAAAACTCACAATGGATTGTTTCTGAGAAGTTTTGCTTACACTGAGTGTTTCTATTATTATTTGGGCTTAGTTTTTTTAAGTGCAGTGACAAACACTAAAAAAAAGAGTTTAGTTATACCACTAGTCCAGTTTATGCTGTTATGTATTGCATCAAGCATTGCATTAAGTTGATGTAAATGTCATTTGGATAAAAAAAAAGAATAGGAACAACATGTAAACCTCCATAATTATTTTCCCCAAAATTGATTTAAATAACTTTTAATCAGCCAAGATGCCAATTCTGGTCCACCTAGAGGTTTTAAGAAACTACAAACAAAGGTCATCTGAACTAATGCCAATGCACTTAACAAGGTTGGGGAACTCCAATATCTTTCTGAAAGTGCCTCTTCTTGCAAAATGTTAGGCAGTGTAATGGATGTTTCCTTACCAACAACAGTACTGCATCTTTTGCAATGCAACACTATATAATGTGCGACCAAACACAGTACAAAATGCAGTTTTACATACCTCCCAATTGTCCTCTTTCTCTCTTTTGACTCGAACCTCATATATAAGAGTGATCCATCCCGATTTGGTGTCAGCTTTGTGAGGGGGTTCCCATTTTACCAAAAGGCAGGGGTTCTCTTTGCTATGGAACTCCACTGTCACATTCTCAGGTGCATGTGGCTGGACTGTAAGAAACACAGCGAAACAAAATTGCAGTGAAATCATGTGTTTACTGAATTTGCAAAGTTGGAAAGTAGCCAGACTAATAACCATTTAAAACAAAAGTCAATTTTGAGGTTATAGGTTGTATCTAATATGACTTGATTTTCAGTGTAGTTATCTCTGGAACCCTTTTGTTTGTATTTAGATGCAAGATGGCCGAATAAGCAGAATAATTTATTCTATTAATACCAATACACCTATTTCTATGGAATTATGAAGTGGTGTTAGTGGGGCCAGCAGGGGGCGCTCACCCTGCGGTCCATGTGGCTCCTAATGCCCCAGTATAGTGACGGGGACACTATACTGTAAACAGGTGCCATCCTTCGGAAGAGACGTAAAACCGAGGTCCTGACTCTCTGTGGTCATCAAAAATCCTAGGGCGTTTCTCGAAAAGAGTAGGGGTGTAACCCCGGCGTCCTGGCCAAATTTCCCATTGGCCCTTACTAATCATGGCCTCCTAATAACCCCCCTCTATGAATTGGCTTCATTACTCTGCTCTCCTCCCCACTGACAGCTGATGTGTGGTGAGCGTTCTGGCACACTAAGGCTGCCGTCGCATCTTCCAGGTGGTGCTGCACATTGGTGGTGGTGGAGGGGAGTCCCCATTACCTGTAAAGTGCTTTGAGTGGAATGTCCAGAAAAGCACTATATAAGTGTAAGCAATTATTAATATTATTATTATTATTATTATTATTATTAATTAGAAGCCTTTCTTTTCCCTTTTGTGTCTATGGTGAAATGAACATTACTGTGATTATACTGCAGGTATATAATTTGTCTTTTTATGCTACTAAGAATAAATGATTCCAATAATTTTGTTTCCAAGACAAAACTACTGCAGAATGTCCATTTGAAATTGGATACAATGGAGAGTGCACAATTTTAATTTAAACCAGTCAGGTTAAGGAGGTTTCTGTTGACAAATAAAGTAACGTTTGGCCTGTTTTGAGACAACAGTGTATTACATACAGTAGTACAACCAATACTTAAAATTCAGAATCTGATCATTACCAGGCTTCCTACTTTGACAAACATCATAAACAAATACAAGCAAGAAGACTTCAAACTTAATTATAGCCTACTTGAATGGATTTTCAATTCCACCTCAAAATGTGTAAATAAAACCCAGTGGCAAAATCACACTTGAAATAATTGTAACTTACTCCTTGTGACTTACAGTATGTGCATCTAATAACTTATCAACAAGGATGGAAGATTCACCTGCTTCAAACTGGACTACTACATGTTTTTATTCTTTAGGTACATAATAAAGGAGGGAGCTACCTATCAAATTTACATATGTGAAGAACAAAAATCTTTTGAATAAAATATGCAGGACAAAATACATGTACCACAAAGCTCGTTCTTCAGAGCCACACCTTCTCTAGTAAAATATCCCAAAAGGCAGTTACATAATGTTAATGGAAAACTACCGTTTCACTTTCCACTCTTATAGTTGTTTAAGTAAGGATTGGGATCCTTCTGATATGCTACTGAGCTGAAACGTATTTAAAATGTAAACTTATTTAAGGAGACACTTTAAATAGGACTAGAGGAAAAAGCCATCGGCATAAAAAATATTGTGCCCTTAAATTACAAAATATTGCTTCATATGTTCCTGTACAAAATGTTTATTTAGACAAAAAATCATAGTGTTTATTGAAAAAAGGTGGTGCTGAGTGCTTCCAGTCAACCAAAAGCAGACAACTGGCCCCTAGGGCTGTAAAGGTTAGGCATCACACTTGATTACATAATGGAATATCACTAGGCACTCTGCTGGAGGTGAACTGCTGATAGCTCAGGATCAGGCACTGCTGTTGTTGACAGCAGAAAAGAATGAGGACAGGTGCTATTTAAAGTAAGAGAAACTGGGACTTGCTTGCATTTGTTAAGAAAGTTTGAATAAAATTTAGCCTGGACAAGGGAACAGCCTTGAGTTCATATACACAAATGTACTGTATATGAAATACAATGCACACATAATGCAGTAGTCTATATGTTAGATAGATAAGAAGGGTTCATGAATCTTTTTTACTATCAAAACTCCAGAAACGTACTTTTGGTTTTGAATCTGGGAAAAACTTATACTACCTCCAACTTCAAATCTGCCTTATATAGAAAGTGTTTTAGGATCTTTTGAAATGAAAAGTGATGTATACATTTAAATTGATAAATTATTACTTTGTATTGTGGCACAGTGGTTAGGATTGCTGCCACACAGTGGTAGGGCCATGGGTTCAATTCCAGATCTAGGGTGCTATCTGTGTGGAGTTTGTAGGGTCCTCCCATGTTTGTGTGGGTTAATTGGCCTTGGTGTGAGTGTGTGTGTGCCCTGTGATGGACTGGCATCCTATACAGGGTGTATCCTGCCTCCTGCCTGCTCCTAGTGCTGCCCCACACTATCCCCCTGTACTGGATAAACTGGTTTAGAAAATAGATTGATTGAATATTTTTATTATTAATCGCAGACACATCCAAGTAAGTGGACACTTAATAAGGAATTAAAAATCCATGGGATTTTTTTCATTTTGTCAGTTTGTTTTAATTGTCATGCACCCAGTCTCTTAACAGCACCCAGGTGGATGCTGCACATTGGTGGTGGTGGAGGGGAGTCCCCATTACCTGTAAAGTGCTTAGAGTGGAGTGTCCAGAAAAGTGCTATATACAGTAAGTGTAAATTATTATTTTTAACAGGTATGTCTATTTTTCAGGAAATGATGCATTTTATAAAATAAACTTAATGTTTAAAGACATTTTTTTCTCCATTTCAATTTATTTGTATTTTCTCATATTTTCTTTTAAATGTTCTTTTTCTGTTGAATCTGTGTAACTTGGCTGCAGAAAACTGCTTTTGCGTCACAAATTCAGGATTTTATTGCCAGTATTTATTTGCTTTGATCATCCATCTGCTAAGGACTCAGCACAATTGCTCCTCAAATCCTAAATGTTCAGTCTATTATTTCCTGTAATATAAGAGGCTAACAAACACAATACAGTAGTACCAGGCTGCTCATAAGGCTTAAAACCTGTTCATCTTCATTTTCATAGCATTAACGTGGCTAAATCTATGCACCTTGAGTTAGTAATTTTCCAAATCTTTTTTTTTTATTTTTCAGGTCAGCCTCCAAGGTTCACTTGCTGTACAGAAATACACTAAGCACCATAACTGACTACATGAGCTGTGCATTGTGATCCAATTTAGCATTAGTAAAGTAATCCCTTTTAAGCTTACTTAACAGAGGCATAATCCGGTGAGAGATATGACAAAAACAGAACACAAACAACACAAAATATGGTGGTTCATTAACTATGTATGAACTATGTCTGAACAACGTATGTGCCAGCATCCAACATTTTAAATTAAATGTCTAATTCCAATAGTGTCACATTTAAAGATGTCATTTACATTGTTATATTTTGTTCAGGGCACCTGCTTGAGACAGTTATATTTCACTAAACTAAACCACTAGGACATTTTAGCACAAACACCCACTGTAAAGTCCCTTTAAATTAACATAAATAAACACAAAACACAGGAAACCTACCATTATATGCAACGTCCACGTCCAGTGGATCAGAAAAGCTCCTTCCCAGTGCATTGGTAGCTACAACTGTAATGTTGTAGTTTATCCATATGGAGGTGTGCTGTTTATCAAAGTAACAGGAGTTTTTTCCAGCAGTTTTGTAGTCAGGACACTCATAGACTGTGTCAGAGCTGCAGAGAAAAGTGGAAGGAGATTGCATCATTTACTAGAGAATTGACAAAAATCTAGATTACCGAAGATACATTTACCAAAGGATTTACTCCAGATTATTTTCTGGTCACCAATGCCCACCTGCCTGCAACTGTCCTATCTATCCGTAGCAAGTTAAATTAGAATCACCTTTATTCATCAAGTACATTTCATGTACAAGGAATTTACTTTGTTTTACATAGTACAGCAAAAACATTTTACATATGCCGTCCACAAATGAGACAACAGACGTCATCAAGAATTCTGGTTAAGCAAAAACAAATCCCTAGGAAAGAAGCTGTTTAAATACCATGTGGTTCTAGTTTTAATAGACTGGTAGTGTCTTCCTGAGGGAAGTTTTTGAAACAGGTGGCATCTGGGTTGGAGGTGACATCGACTATCTTTCCTGCTCATTTCTTTGCTCTAGAAATGTACTGATTATCAATGGAGGGCAGATGACAACCGGTGACCCTCTCTACAATGTGAAAAGCACACTGCTGTTTGCCTTAGGTGCGTGCAGATATGTCAAACCAAACAGTTAAAGAGTCAGTTAGAATGCTCTCAATAATGTCTCACTGTAATTCACTGTAATTTGCTCCACAGTTTTTTCAGTTGGTGCAAAAAGTACACTTTCTGCTATGCTTTCTTTGTGATACTGATGATATTCCTGTCCTATATAATGGTATTTAAGATCATAATTCCCCAAAACTTAAAAGACTCCACTGCTCATATGAACTACATATATCCACCACATACTGTATAAAAAATAACATTCCATTATGGATTCACTGCACAAAAAGTAAAATGGCTGTAGCTTCATGACAGTTAAAAATCCTTTATTGCACTGTTTTTTTCTACTGTAGATAGGCCATTCTTCATCTTAATAAACTTTAAGGGTGATTTACATTTTATTACATTTAAATATTTAAGGGTGCAAAGGTAAAAATAAATCTAGCCCATTAGATGTGTACTACTGTGGTACTGTATGTCTCTACACAGCTGAAAAAGGAATCTTGCAACAAATTAATAAAATTTGTGTATATAGCAAATATATACGGCCTGTGTACTTGATTATAAAAGGATGTAAATCTACACAACATGGGCAAAAGGTCAATTAGGAACACCTAGAATAAAAATGTATATTAGTGAATGGTTTTAGAGAACTGCTTGAAGTACCAGTCAGACAGTAGCTGGCAGTTTAAACAGCTCTTAAAGTTTAATACCTTTGGAATCTACTGCACAAGAACAATTTGTGATAATTGCAAAAAAAGCATATCAGAAATATGTCCCAGAGCTTGTGACACACAGTAGAGGTAAAAACATTTCAGATATAATAAGCATTCACAAAGGCAACAATCGATGAAACAGTAAATGATGACTTTTAGTAATGCATGATTTGTTATATCATGTGGCAGTATTTAGGACACACCTTCAGTCTTCCATTAAAGTCTATTAATTATTTTTATGTTAAACAAGAATTTAAGGTTGATACACAACCTTAAACCATCACTATAAGTCACTCGGAGTTCCAGCAATAGTGGCTGGGAGATCATCATGAATAGTCAATCTAGGATTGAGAGTATATTTAATTAAACATGTTAAATGCAAAATCCATGGGATAACTTATATATTTTGGGACCTGCAAGGTTCTCCAACATTAGCCTCACATGGACTATGACTTTTATATACTGTAAGAGGACACGGGGAAGGGTCATCTCTAACAGGTACTTCCGAAACGAAACGCTGAAAATGCTAGAGATGGACCTTAGAGAGATGGCGGACAAAAAGAATCAGCTGACTAGTAGATGGAAAGGGTCTACCTTAAGAGACAACGAGACACAGCTGAGACGCATCAGGAACCGGGATATAAGTGGCCCGGAGGCAGTGAACAGGGCGGAAGCCGGGAAGGTGAATGTGTTTTGGAGGAAAAGAGTGGAAAGAGGTGCTTGTTACGGATCGGGCTAAGGAACAACGAACGACTGCAAGGAGAAAGGTTTATGATTTTGGATTACGGACACTGGTTTAGGATACATCGCG